GCGTGGCACAGCCAAGTGCGGCCGCAGTCGGATGTGCTCGGGGAGGGCTCGGTGCTTGCTCCTGCAGGCACCCGGCGCAGCAACGTGCACAGGGTGCCTGCACCCTCAGCAGCAGCCCTGCTTGACGTACCCCCAGCAGGAAGCACCCCCTCCCCGTAGTACCGCCGTTCATCCTTCGGCACCTTCGGGCCCCCTGCGGCGCAGGGCCGTGCCCCGAGACGCACTCCCGGTCCTCCTGCGCACCTCCCGTTTCAGCTGCAATCAGTTTGGCATCAGCCCAGGTAGGCGGTTTTGGCCAGTGCTTGTGCTTGTGAGGATTGATCAGTGCATCGCTAAGCTTTGCTCCGCGCTGTAGCAGGCAAAGACATGGGAGCATATGGCTCAGAGACATCGACATATGTTTGAAGCACTACAAGATGGCATATTGCAATTGTAGCAGTGTTCTTCATTTTTATTTTTAGCTCAGTTATACAAATAAGATGTTTTTCTCGCTGTTCAGTGTTATCAACATTTGAAACTATTTTTGTACATTATTATCCTCTCTGATTTCTAATCCTATGCAGCTTTGCAAGGTCTAATAGGGAATGTATAGAACCCATGCAAGTTAAACCTTTAATAAAGAGCAATTTGCAAGTACAATTCTCTCATTATTTTTTTTATCGATACTTCTGCATATTCAGTGAAATCTAAAGATTAGAGGTTTATGAATAATTCAGTGTTTAAGCTGATGTCTGATTCATGTACTTCAAATCTGGGAGGTGGTTTTGGAGGGAAGAAGAGGAAGGATTTGGTGTTTATTTGCTGTCTGCGAGGCTGTGCTGCACGGGAGCCATGCAATGCTTGGCGCTGCAGCTTTCCCGACCGCAGCAGCCCGGCTCTGGCACACGCTGACGATGTGCTGGCCCCGAGCCCACAGATTGTTGCCCCACGCGATGCCCAACCTGGCAGTGGTAGGGGCAAGCGAGGGTTTGGGACGCCTCTGCCAGCCCAGGCAGGTACCGGAGGCATCACGGAGCTGCTGGAGAGGTGATGGCCAGATCCAGGAGAAGGAGATGTCTGGAAGAGATGCACCCATCCCTGCCGTGGTGCCAGCCCCTACAGCCCTCCAGTGTCTCCACTGGTCCCTTCCCAGGGGATTCAGAAATGGACTGGAAACGGAGCAGGGAACAGGCTGGTGGTGCCGGTCGGGGGGAACCCGTCATGCGGGCCCGGGCACTGGGTGCTTCTCGCAGCGCCTTGCGCCAGGCCTGGTCCTGCTGGCACCTTGGTTCCCCGCCAGGATCCGGCCGCCCAGGCTCAGCAGGTGGGCGCAGACCTTGACGAAGGTCTTTCTGGGCAGCACTTTGCACGTACATTGGTGCAGTAACGTCTGCTGGGTTGGGCCATGAACCAGCCCTGCCGTCACGCAATCCTGGCCCTTGCTCGGGCTTGCGGCTGCCCCATCACTTTGACAGACGGTGTGTACGAAAGCCCCGTGACTCTCGCATGAAGAGGAAGGGACTGACGCGGCGTTCTGTGGAGCAACACAGCGGTGCCCGAGGTGGGGACATTTGCGCTGTTCCTGCACCAAGGCGCAGCTGGTGAATTACTCAGGCTCGCCTCGCAAGTGCAGGCGGAATGGAAAGTAGCACAAATATCCTACTCCACTGGAACAGCGGTGAAGGTGTCCATAGGATCACAGGAAGACTTATTTTTAACGCAGCCATGACACAGAAGTGCCCTGGGCGCCTCAGGGGTCCCAGCAGCCGAGGGCTCAGCTCACACTTGGCCCATGGGACGATGCTGTCCTCAGTGTGGGGTGGTTGCCGCCAGGAGCCGGCACGGAGGGGAC